CGAGACTTCCGTAAGTCTCCGTATCATTGTTGTTATGTAAGTGGAGATGAGAAGACAGGTTGTCGAGGGGTGAGTTTTGTCCGTTGTATAGCTTCCGGTTGCCATGTAGCACTGTGTAGGAAACATTTCTTCATCAGTCGTGAGGCCGCGGATACTATCTTCGTTGGAGAAAATTGTAGTTGTTATGAAGGTAAAAAACCCTCGAATGAATATGATTCAGAATCGTCTGTTGACGAGAGTGGTTTGTCTGATTCGAATTCGTTAGAGACGTCAGTCTCAGATTCAGATACGACTCGCAGTACTGAGGATGAATCAGATTGTAGTTCGCTCAGTGATGAAGGTTTATATTCAAGCGGTTCTGACTTGTCGTATGTCGATAACACTAGCGCTGATGCAGAATTCAGTGGTTACTTAGACCACGAGGGTGAATTATTATCTATCCCTCGACACGTTATCCTGAATGTTGATAGTCGTGTTCTACATCGTAATGCGAATCCTATTAAAGGCAATATATCGCAACGGCGATTCTTGCAGAATATTGTTTCCCTAGATCCTGGGCATGCCTTACCTTTGATTAATTTTGAAGCAGACATTTTTCCTTCTATTTTTTATGCTCAGAGTGATGATGGTTCATTTCCAGGAGCTATTCCACAGTTTCTCTTCAGCGACTCAAAAAGTAATCGGCAGTTTGACTTTGCTGGAATAGATGAGATGCTTCGATGCCGGGTGAAAGATGGGGCCTCGTTAGCGGGGACTGATCCGCGCTACATTGCGCATGCATTCGATGTTTTGATTAATCTGGAATTGAATACATCTGATACAAGATTAGTACAAAGTAGGGGATATGAGCATTTGCTAGGGTACTATACTCATAAACCGAATGAGAGTAGGATGAGCTTTGACAGTGTCGATTCTCGTATGCGAATTAATGAACTGGCTTCATTCACAAAATTAGATCCTGAATATTTTTCTATACACACACGGTAAGTATGCGTCATCATCCAGGAGTGAGTCCAATTTTTTTGCGCGCAGAGGAACTAGGAATGATTGACAGTGAGTCTGATTTAAGTAGAGCTCGGGATATTTCAATTGCTGTACAATTAGTTAGGTCAAGTTGTAGGGCAGTTGATTATATATGGCAATATATCTTACGAAGTGAAGAGAGACCTCTTGGAGAAGTGGAGGCAATATGGTATAGATCAGAATGGCAATCGGATCCAAAACATGCTGGCAATCTACCCCATACTCATGGTTTGGTTAAAGTTAAGCAGGGTCGCCAGAACCCGATGGAATGTCTGGAGAGGATAATATGCTCTACAAGTAGATTATTTCATGACAAAGAGAAATTATTAGATTTAGGTTTATTTAAGACGGAGGTAGAGCTTGAAGAGGTACGTGAGAGAGCTTCTCGTACGCAGCAGCATAGTTGTAAAAGGGCTGGTTTTCGATGTCATAAAGTTGTGAGTTCCGCAGGGGATACAGTGTGTAGGACCCCACTTTATCCTGCTACTGAGAATTATTCGTTTCAAGAGATTAAACCAAAACATTCAGAATCTGCAGAGGATTTGCTCATTGAAATGGGGTTAGCATATCGAGATGAGTTAACGGGAGAGATGTTTTGGGAAGATGTTATGGTTGGAGGGAAGTACTTCTATCCTGCTGATAAAAATGAGCACTTCATTCCAACTTCCAGTCATCTGTGGGCATTGCATCGGAGCCAGTGTAACTTACTATATTGTGATCGGTACCGTAGGAGTAAATATATAGCTAAGTATATAGCTGCTGCTGACGCGAAAGGTGCTGTGTTTTTGAAACCTAAGTTGAACAGTGGTCGCACCATTTGTATAATGAAGTTTTGCGCACTACAGGTAGTACTGATGTTGTCGTGAACATCGAAAATGAAAACGCTAAGCGTGAAGAAATCAGTTTGAAATCACTTAGACGTGCTAAAGAACCAATAGGTCGTGTTACTCCGTTCACAGAAATTATTTGTCATGTCCTTCAATTACCTACTTTGTATTGTAACTTAGACTTTATCAAGATATCGACAGTTCCTTT